CTTCAATCCTACTTTGCTAAAAGATTTTTTTAACCCTTCAGGCTTACAGTTTTAATTAAATCGTTGATTAATTTCTTACCTTTAAGTTTACAGGGTGGGGACTGGAACTCATTCGCTAGACCCTTCGGATAAAATATGTGGACAAAACGCAAAAACACGGCGATTAAGATATTTGCTTAAGATTTTTTCACAATAATTTTTTTATACAGGGTGTTCCAAGAGCCGCTGTACGGTTATCAACTTTATTGTTGTAAATGGTAGCCCCTGTATATTATTACATTTCTGGTTTCTGCGCAAAAGTCTAGACATATTCCATTTACAATGTCATATACCTATCTTCAACTGTTTTGGAAATATTGACAGTTGAAAATTGACTTTTTTTGCAACTTCGACAGGCTATAAAACCTAACCGGTTAATTTTACAGCAAAACCTATTTCACATTCTCGTCTGTAGCTTTTCATAAGCTATCATTTGACCCCAACTTTGAATTTAACCGGAGATTAAATTCAACCAGAATGTATGATCGGTTTTGCTGTAAAATTAACCGTTTAGGTTTTACAGCCTGTCAAAGTTGCAAAAAAGCCAATTTTCAACTGTCAATGTTTCCGAAACAGTTGAAGATAGGTATATATTACATTGTAAATGAAATTTATCTAGAATTTTCCGCAGAATTTAGAAATGTCATAATATGCAGGGGCTACCATTTTGAAAAAAAAATAGTTGATAACCATGTACATGGTAATTTTAATGTTGAAGCTCTTGATGTATTTTATCTTTCTTTTTCCAAATTGCTTTTGAAACCGCTTCAAAGTTATGCGTAGACATTGTACTTGAAAAAGGAGAACTTTCTTCGTTCATTTAACTGGCTTCAGAGGAAAACTTTCAATTTTCATCGTTAGCTGCACTTTACCAATTCATTTTTTTCTATAAGGTTAAATCTCGAGTATAATTGACACAGTCATGGCCTGTAATTATTTTTTACATTCACTCAGTAATGAGTAGTTCTTCAATAAATTTTGTTCCGGGAAATATTTAATAATATTTTTCATCATTGATTGAACTGAAAAAAGAAAAGCACTAAACCAACGTTGCACGAAGGTTCAATGGGTATAAGATGACTTTCAAAATTTAAAAGAATGCCTTGCATATAATTTACCTATGTTAAAATTCTGTCCGAATTTTTATTCTTATTTAGAAGTCTCTCAAAGAAATCTTTTCATCGAAAATTATAAGTGGACGTATTTTAGAAACAGCACTACTTGCATTATTTAAAGCGGCGTAGTCCTTACGTTAATAGCTGTAGAGAAGTTAGTAAAATTTAAAATCGAATAATTTCAGTTTCACTTGGAGGTGTCATAAACTGAAAATGATTTTTATTGCGGTGACGAAGCTGGAAACGTTTAAGTATTATTTCTCACTTTAGGAGCCTATGTGAATGACACCTGGAAAACGAGCAGTGGTATTGAAAATATGTCTCTGAGCAGCTTAGGATTAGCCCTTCCGTTGGTGTGTTTCCTTTTAGCTCTTTGCTAATCGCTTTACTTGCGCAAGAGTTGATAGTGATCGGATTCAGCATCAGTACTCGGAAGGGTAGTAATGTTAGTCGCCTAATATGGGTTCTCTCGTAAAATTTCTATGTGAATTTAAAAACCCATAAATCACGATAATCTGTAATTTTTGTATTTATAGAATCGTAAAAATGGCAATTCTGAGATACTTTTCATAAATGTTTTTAATTTACAGTGACGCAATTGACTGAGAGGCATCGATTCCCATAATCCCGATCGGAAATATTTACAAATCTATGAGATTTGCTGTAAGCTACAGGAACCGCAGAATTGCAAAGTGTCTTATAAAAAGTTATAGATTTGCTTACAGATGTGGGCAGAATTGATCTGTAACAGGTCAATTGTGTTGTTCAGTTTCTATACCTGGGGTTGACTCTTATTAAATAAATCTGGTACCTACCGAACAATATGTTGATTATTATTGTATTTTCTTGCAGTGATTTTCAGACATACAACCGCCTAACGGGCAAGATTCTGACATGTACTTGTAACGACCAGACAAACTGTTCTTCTCAAAAAATTGTGTCAATCTTTCGCAATCTCGTTTATCTGACCCAGATAACTACCTGCGCTTATTTTTGCGTTGTAATCTTCCAAAACTAGTTATACATTTTTATTTAATTTTTTTTGGGTTTTATTAGTTTTAGACCTGTTCAATCTTCTTGTGAAATTTTTAAGTTTCTTAGTCAGGTGTATATGATGTAGGAGCGTACACTTACACCATGCTGATATTCGATATGCAACTTCTCCCATCAAAATGCCACTGTCATGTCCACAATGTCAATGTGCGATGCCAGCACCACTATGGTGGAAAACCTGGCCAATCAACTGAGTCACTCCACTGCCAGGCCGTCGTACGTCGATTACTCTTTTCTCTCTATTCCTTTAATCAGGTCATCAATTTTTGCAGCTGCAAGTAAATTTCTCACGTTTTAGGTTGCTATTGAATGTTTTGGATGAAACTGGATCTTGAATAAACAGCGCCCTCTAGCAGACGCGGTGGGAACTATCGACCTCGAACGCAGTGGTGTTCTTAATAACAATGAAATTCTCTTCCAAATAAACCCAAATTGAATGAGTTTGAATGAGGGGTATGGAAGATACAGCAATTTCTAAAAAAAAAATTTCACCAGCTTCCCCCACCCTTATTACTGAAGATACGAAAAAAAGCCTAATAACCAAACTGGCGCAAAAAATAATGAACTTTTGATTTCTGTTGTTAAAACAGTATCTTAATACAGCGATTTCTTGAGAAAAGTTGAATTTTTAGCTATATCATCGTAATTGCGCCCCCTAGCGGTCATCCTAGAAACTTGAAAATAATTTCCATCAATTTCTCTTGGCCGATTTAGTGAAGAAAAAAAAAATCCCGAAGCCGTAAGGTCTATGGTTTCCATAATATCGTACCTGGCCGACCTTAGTGGGACACCTGGTATAGTTGACATTCATTGGGGGATTCTTCGTACCTCCTCTCCACTAAGGGCCTGTCCGGAAGCTAAGGCCATTTCCTTTTTCGTCTACAACATTATAAAAACTGACGGACGAATATCCTGTTTAAGTAAATCCTGGCTTCCATCTTTTCTTTCGCATCGCAGTTTCTTAGCTTTTTCAACTGATTTGGTCTTGCGGTAACTACCTAGTAATTAATGGCTGCTATTCATTAGGTTTCTTTATTGACCTTCCGGTCTAGATCCGCTCTGTTCTGCGTCAACAAGGTCACCTCTCGTAGATTGTTATTTTTCATTATGCAGCACGATATTGACTTCAAGAGAGGCTATAGGCTCCTTCAAAGAATCTATAATCGCATCGTTAAGTACTAGGGCTCCACCCCAGTTAACCGGCACGATGAAGGAGAATCAACTCCGAGCCTCAAAAATGTTTTTACTTTTCCTAGTTTGGAAGATTACGATAGTTTGTACTATATACTAATATTACATTATAATATGACCCACCCTGCATAAATCTCAAATGAGCCTTAACTTTTTTGTGCCAAAAAATTGCAGGATGAATAAGCAATCTTTGAGGGAATTATTATTTGCAGGATACTATAAGTTAATTAGGATTTTTTTCTCTAATTCTCGCTATATCGCTAATAATAATTTAATTAGAAATATCATATTATTTTGTACCTTGAAAACAGTTCAAACATGTATTATAGAAAAATTATTGCCGTAATTGAAATAATTTGTTTCTGGAAAAAAAAAATATTTATAGTTTCACATATCATCTATTTACTGATTCGTTTCTTTGCTTTGATAAGTTCACAGTTTTATAGATTCTTACAAAGTGGAACGTTAGGGCAGCTAGATAGAAGGTATGTTAAAATAGATTTAATATCCCTATGTAATAATAATTAAAACCTGTTCGAGTCAAAGTTTACATTTATACTTATTGGTACTTTCTTATTTTTTTATTGAAAGAATTTAAATTATATAATTTAGCGCAACGACAGTTTTATTGTTTTTGATTGATTGTTTATAGGTATTTTTCATTAACAAGTATAAAGTAAATTTCCAATTTGGGTACTTTACATTTGCCAATAGACTTCTAATATTTCTCCGTTTTATAAATATAATCAAAGTGCAATAAAATTGATGGACCTTAAAGTTATTTTATGCTTTCTGGTCATAAAATATGCAATCAATTTCAAATGGACGCTTTAATTAATTATAATTGAGATTCATAAAAATGGATAGCTACCCCAAGCCGTTTGAATTAAAATTTTATTTTTATGTGAAGCCACTTCACTCAGAGTGTACGTACATAAAGTAGGTATGGAATAAATTAAATATTTCGAAAATACGTAAACAATAATTTTGAGAAGCAACAGAGAACAGACCTAAATGGCAAGGGCAATTGGGCATTAAAATACAAAATGATAAATGATAAATTTTGATAAAGTAGTTTATGCAACAATAAATTTAAACAAAATCCTCTGACAGCTTGTTTGTAATACCTATAATAATAATTATATAATAATTGAAACAAGACAACAATAAAATAACCATGTATAACCTAGAAAAAATAGTGAAGATGAAATTATTTCAGAAAAAAAATTAGAGGAACAGAAATAACAAAATGTTATAAGGCTGAGAATCAAAACATGGAACGTAAAGACTCACTATGAAGCTGGAAAATGTGTTGAAGGTGTTCAGGAGATGAATAGGTTGAAGCTAAATGTCAGTGTCACAACAGGCAGGATGAGAATGAGGATAGCTTTAAGCCCACTATACGATTTGGACTAACTTTTGATGGAAAATACTTAATTTATATCATATCAATACTTTTTTATTATTTCAACTGAGAAAGCTTTCCAATTATCCATCTTCTCTTTAGGTACTTTTATTCCAGAATAAAATATATTATTCGTTGCAGCAAAGGGAACCTTAAGTAATTAATACACTCATGTAAGATTTTGTTATCTATTTTAGCAATGGAAGCGTTAAAACTGGAAATAAACGAAGACAAATTGTACAGCAAAGTATACGAGGAGTTTCAGAAAACGAAAGAGGACGTGCTAGAGTATATAAACCTAATTCAAGAATGGTGCAAACTGCAAGCCCATTGGCCAGAAATGCCTTGTGAGTACAATAAATCACGAGCTACTAGAAATAATATCTAATTAGAAAAATATTTCATACAAAAAAGACTTTTTCCTGGATTATTATTATAAATGATCCGATCATTTCGATCTAACTTGGTTCAGTTAATTATATTCTGATGTGTGAATATTTTTTATGAGGGTAAATCTCGGGACATTGGTCGGAAATGTGACATTGTAACCCATAAGCCGTGATTAGTGCGCAGTTACTTCAGCAATTGCGGCCTAAGGTGGCATTAAATTTTCATGTCGATATAGTGGATCGTTGTAAATTTATGCAGTGAATCGATCCACTCCAATTGAAGCTGCCAGTAAGTAATTGAAGAATATTACTATAAATAAATTCTGTACTGTGCAGTATTTTGAGGTTACGGAATCTCGTCATGATATAATATATTACGAAACAGTTAATAAACATTGAACTGAATATAATTATATGTATACATACATACGACAAGGTGTTTCACGAACATCGAAACAGAGGCGTTTTAGAGTATTTCAAGGTCGATAAAAAAAAAACGCTCGGACACGTCATTTTTGTATTCAAGGAAGAAACTTTTTGACTCTATCGGTATATGGCTGGGGTGCACCCCCTGAGTGAGGTGACTTCCACCTCTCTTTTTCAGATAGGGAAGATGGTTCGAGTGGTACCTTGCTTCAAAAGTATTTTGATTCTCGTCACAAGTGCCTATTTTTTTTGAAAATCGAATGATTAGTTCCCAAGATATTTACTGTCAAAGTTGCCATGGGCTGAATAGGAAACAATCTTCTGACCCTGTTATTCTCGAACTAACACTTTCCTGACTTTCCTCTCGGACACGTGTGTGCTGCTGAAAAAATTGAAATTGACGTGTCCGAGAGGAAAGTCAGGAAAGTATTAATTTGAGAATAACAGGGCCAGAAGATTGTTTCTTATTCAGCCCATGGCAACTGTGAATATCTCTAGAACTAATCATTCGATTGGACGAAAATACGCACTTGAGAATCAAAATACATTTAAAACAAGGTACCAATCGACCCATCTTCCCTATCTAAAAAAGAGGGCTAAAAGTCACACACAAAAGACCCAGGGGTTGCACCCTAGCGAAATATCGATGGGGTAAAAAAATTTCCTCTTTGAATACAAAAATGACGTGTCTGAGCGTTTTTTTTTTTTTTAATCGACCTTGAAATACCCTAAAACGCCCCTGTTTCGATGTTCGTTAAACACCCTGTATAATAGAAAATAAAACAAAAAATGTTAAATGACTCAATCTACAAATAATAATATTTTTTTTTTATTATATTTTTGAAAAATAATAATATAATTAACTAATAATAATCGATTCAATGAATAAAAAAAACATAGCTACCGCTCACGAGATGTTTACACATCAGTGTCTCGAGTATTTAGTAACAAACTCGCTCATGTTTTTTATTAAAAATACTACCACAGTACATAGAACCTATATTTTTGCTATAGTGGAAGTTCATGTACCTTGGGGCTCCTTTTTTCTGAAAAGCCAATATTTTGAGTTGCCTTGTAATTTATTTTTTTAATTAATTTGTCAATACGTTTTCTGGTATTTAGGAAATAATCTGTGCCTAAGCAAACAGTCTAGGAAAATAGTCGAAAAATACATGCATTGCAAAAAAAAAAATGCCTACCCAAATGAACTTTTCAAGGATGATGGTGGGTGATTATAAAACCGAAAATATCAAACATTCACCCCTCTGGCGTTTTGCGTTTTAGGGGTTGAAAGTGCGTCAATGGCGATTACTTGGTACCTATTGATTTCACAAAAAAATGTTTCAAATAAAAGATGTGCAACATTATTTGATCTACAATATTTATCTGAAGACTTTTTTGATTAAGGGCCGTCTGTGGTCATAAGGGCCGTTTGAAATTTTATAATGAAAATGAAAAATTTTAACCACCGTGAAAAAATTTTCTACAACACGTACAACCTTTTTGCCTTATGAAATTTTCACTCACCCCCTGCCGTTTTTCAATAGGGGTAGTTCAAAGTTTTTTTATTTTTTCACAAAAAAATGTTCTCAATAAAAGTTTTATAAGATTACATTTCCTACAATTTTTCTCTATCAACTTTTTTTTAACTCACCCCCATTCAGCGGGGGGACACTTCCCTTAGGGAAATTTTAGTTTAGTTTAGTTAGAAATTTAATGTTTTTTTTCTTTTCTCGCCTTAAATGCATATAAAAAGTTGCAATTAACATTGTTTTGAAAGGATTTTTTTTCCACCACTTTTTTGATTTTAGGGGTAGTTCCCTATTTTGAACTTTACAAAAAAAATTTATTGAGAAAACTTGTTCATTTTATTATTTTGAACAACTTTTTTTTATAATTTTTTTCTGTAAAGTTGAAAATAGGCGAACTACCCCGAAAAACAAAAAGGTGGTGGAAAAAAAATCCTTTTAAAACAATGTTAATTGCAACTTTTTATATGCACTAAAGTCGAGAAAAGAAATAGTATTTTACATTAATAGCCAGGTAAATCAGTTTTTACTGGTGATTGAAGGCAGTGTCGGACTGGCCCACCGGGCAACCGGGCAAAATCCCGGTGGGCCAGATGACGTCTTCGACAGGTGGGCCATTCGAATATTTATAAAAATAAATTGAAACATCCCACTCCTCTCGCCGAACCACCTCTCCAACGGTAGCCACCCTAACCTCAAAATTTTGAATGGCCCTACTATAGGTCCAAGGATGATATACACTACTCAAGATGGCCTATCCTCATAAGGCCGCATGATCTTTTGTCTCACTTCAAATGGGAGGACCCTAGAGAAAAGGGAATTTGCCTTCTTCGTCAGTATCTAATGACGTCAGGTCTTAGTTGGTTCTAACTTTATATATTAATCCTTTATTTAGCACCTGGCTAATTACAAAAATAAATGAATATACAAGTCAACTTAATTATTACATAATACGCCTATTAAAATAAAATATCATGCAAGTATATACAAATTACAATAATGCAAGACACAGCATAAAATATAAAACAAAAATGTATAGCAACAATTTAAAAAACTACTCAATAGAATATAATAATATACATATATATGTAACTTGTGTCATTATCCTATGGCATGTTCATTACATATTACATAATAAAAAACAAACAAAAAAATCCTAAGTTTAAAGTGTGTATAGTAAACAACAAATAATATAATGATTTACAAACAACATGCAAGTCTTGAAAAACACAGAAATCAAAGATATACAAAATTTAACAAAAACAACAAACAACAGACGAATCATAAGATGAATCTTTAAGTTTCTTTTAAATAGATTAATATTTGAGGCGTCCTTTATTTGTTGAGGCAAAGCATTAAAATAAATTAAACCCTTATGGTATAAACCATTTTCAGTTCCTTTTTTATTTTTTGTTGTAATATAAAAATTGTTACGATTCCTTGTAGGGTACGAATGTACAGGAGAATGACTTCTTAATTTTTCAGTCAAATATGTAGGTGTTAGCTCATTTTTTATTTTATAAATTAACAACATATTCTGGTAAATGAGAAATTTTTCAACAGAAAGCCAATTTAATTTTCTTAACATATTTTTTATGGGCGTTTCACGCCTTTCAAGTAAAATAATTCTCATTGCCCTATTTTGCAATTTTTGCAACCTGTTCTGATCATTTCTGTTACACAGATATAGGATCGAGGAACTAAAGATATAATATGGTAAGATCAAAGTATTATAGATAGTAAGCTTGGTCCATTGTGACAAAAAAGATGTCAATCTAGATAAAAAATTTACACCGTTGCGTCTCCCTCGCTATAACTATTTTTTTATTATTATACACCCTAGATGTCCGAGAACGGAAAGGTAAAAAAGAGGAAGTTATACAGGGTGTCTCACCCCCACCGGGAAACAAATCGATCATATATTAAAAGCTGTATGCAGAAATTTTTTGAAAATCTGACAGTATACCAATGTCAATGGGACCGTCCCGCCTTTTTTTCTAATTGGGTTTTCAAAATGCCTGAATACAATAAAAAAATATGTACCAATAATTTGATCCACTATTATTTGATATTCAATTAGAAAAAAAACATTGAATTAGCCGATAAAACGAGTCTATTCAAAACGCGCGCGAAAAGTGACGTCACATGACTCTGACCAACAGTACCCATCATAGTCAGTATATCTCTCGTCAGAACTAGAAATCAACCAATTAAGGGGGGCATAATGACATTGAAATATGTCAGTTCACTATGAGTTCAGCTTTGATCTTTAAGGAAAAATTTAAAAATATGTTTGGTTTTCATTTTTCAGGGTTAAGGTCGTTATGGATTATTTGCAAAAATTTCAAACAATCATCAATATATCAACATAATATAAAATAAGAATTACAATAAATACATTCACCCATAGGAGTATAAAACGGGTACAGAAAAAAGAGAGATCGCGAGAAAACGACAATTATTAGAAGCTACAGCATCCAGCCAACAACTGACTTAATTTTTGGTAAATAACAAGAAAACATATAAGCAGGTATTTGCAGTAAACCTTAAGTACCAAGGTACCTATTTTTTTTATGCCTATAATATAACTAGGTATCAGATTCAACAAATGATTATCAAAATGTTTTTATGTCATACCAGTACATTATTGTCTTTTTATACCTTGGATATCATCTACATAATTCATCACTTTATTCCCGTGCGGGCATAAAGTACACATTCTGGCCCGCGCGGGCATAATGTACCATTCTAAACATCAGGTTGACCATTACGCCACAAATGACGTCCTTTGCGTGTACGCAAAGTAACATCGATTTCAAATAAAGTCCCCCTGGTATGACAGAAAAGTTTGTATGCACCACGGGTACTAATAGATATACAGTGACCGCCAAAAAGTTTGCAACAAATGGGAAAATATTTTGTTATTAAGATATCAAAAAAAATGTTACGTGGGATCAATTCAGCATACCCATCAACAAAAAAAAATCACTGTGACAGATGTCA